GGTACACAAACATTGTTATGTTAGATATACTGTTCCCAGGTTGAAGGGGGGGGGGGGATTTAAATTGAGAGAAAAAAATATAGTCAGAATTTAAATCGTACCGGCAATTTTCACCTAAGACTCCTCTAAAATCATGAATGGTCATGCTTCACAAAAATCAGAATTTTCTTTGCATTGGTACATTCTGTATCGGTAGTGATTTACCTTGACATTTCCGGGTATAACAGAGCTACTTGTATATTACCTGTATGTGGTTAGGTGACGTCCCATGAGGTCTTACGTATACAGGTTCACATTTATAATGGTTTCTGATATAACAAGGTTTTATGACATTCACACTTCTGCATGTTTTGTATACCAAATTCTTATCTTATTTTCAGACCAAACGAGGATATGAATATTTTCCAGGAAAAATATTGAGTATCAAAGTATCAAACTAATTTCGGGATTTTTTTCTTTCTTGGTATTAAATCACAGAAACTTAAAGAAAATACTGCTTGTCCGCTTTAGGTGTATTCTTGTCAGTTAAGACTGACATATATGTCTCTGGTATAAAGTGGGTTTATGAATGAATGAAAAGTCTTGCAAAGGTACAAGATATAAAGCACATTAAAAATTGAATCCTCCGGTCTGTCTCCATTCAAAAAAAGGAAAGTTGACGTTAGATTGATTCTGTTATTTTTTTTAAACATCGTTGGTCAAATATAGCTAAAGTATGTATACGTTGTGAGATTTTAAATATTTTAATAAGGGCATTCCCGATTAGGTAAATGTAGATCGCTGTGGACGGACCAACCTATATTAATCATGTAACCGCGATAATTTTCTCTAAACATTGAAATATTCACGGTTAATACCCATGATAATTTGAAAAAGTAAGTACAGTGTTTGGTTTATACGCTCGTTTTCGTGGGCCATTTTTATTTGTAAATTATTTATTTGAAAGTAATTCAGAATTTCGATGTTACAACAAAATACTCACCTATCTATTTTAAAATTAAGCTTACGCAAAATATAAAAGATATACATGTATATAACGGCGATTCAGGTATTTTGCCACCATATTCCTCCCCAAATAATTAATGTTTTTATCATTCATACGAATTGTTGTTCACACCTGTAACGGTGAACCGTGTTGGCTAAAATTCACTGAGTGAAGATCAAAAGAATAGAATTACAGAATGCTAATCTTTTAATTACCTTGAATTTAACCACGCATTCAACAGGTGGTCACTTAGTGTCACAGTACAATACACATTGTATTTACACAGTACTAGACTGAAGTAAAAGCCTTCAGGTGAGAATACAAACATGCATTTGTAAAACCAGAGACATATAATACAATGTATTATATGTCTCTGGTAAAACAATATCAGTTATATATGTTTGTTCAAAATATCCGTCGGAAAAAAAATTCATGAAAATATATTCTATTGTATGATTTACTTTTCTAACTATAATCATATCAGAAATCCTTTAAATATAAATTGTACATTTTAATTTTGAAAGTTGCACGGCGGATCACTTTACTTTCTTAATTATTAGTTGGTTAATAGCTACGCCAAAAGTCGTCGATGCGCTTTAAATCGCGTTATTAGATGATTAACGAACAAGACTTACAACGAGATTTATTCACTCCCGGCATGCAAAAAGACTTAAACTACGTCACATAAGTCAGGAAGTTGGAATAAATTAAATTATTAATTCCCAATTTTCTTCTTTATTAGTGTTCATATCCAGATAAAACTTGGTAAATATGTTTTTTATGGTATTATGAACATAATAAGATGAAAAGTAAAAAATCGCGAATTTTCCCTTTAAATAAAGTTTCGCAGTTTTTTCATCAGCTATATTCACGTCGATGAATTATTTTTTGATTGGTCACAACAATCAATTATTTTTAGATTAGTCGCGGTTGATTGATTTTATCAAAGTATACACATCACCGCCACCGGTGCCGAGTTGAGAAAAAGACGTGTCTTATGAAATATTTAAAAGATTTGATAGAAAAACTTTCAAAATATACCTAATTATTTACGGAAATATTGTTTTCAATAAACTTGTGTTGTTTTATTTTTATTTCAATGGGTCACAAGCTTATTAAAGTGTAGCGGATTCATTTGCCGTTATTTTTTTACACAAGTGGGGCTAAATTTCTTTCACTTCAACAAGATAGGATTTTTACAATTATGAAGTGCTTTAAATAAATCTGACAGGGATGTATTAAAAAAAAATAGTTAATTGTCATGAAATAAAATGTCAGCTTAGCTTCCAAACAGGTAATTGCCAAATAAGTCATCCATATGACAGGTATTCTTCATTGACGACTTCTGTAATTAACACAAATAAACTTTTTTTTACTGTTTCCTGTAAAATCTCTGTGAAGCAATGATGACATTCAAAGTTTTATTTAACAACTTGCTGTTGATGCTGAAACCATTCTATCAGCAAACTGAGGACACTGTTAGTGAAAGACTGTAAAGACATGACATTTATAGGCAGACAATGAACAAAGTTGCCAGTCTTGGAACTTTGTATCCTTGTCTGTTTAAGTATGCAGCAATTGGTCCTGTTTTGCCAGTTTCAACAGCTGATTGTGAAAGGTGTTTTTCATGTTTAAACAGTATTTAAGGATGTACTTAGGTGAGGTTTTGGAATTTGTATCAGAATTTCTGACTCCTTGGTTTTTTTCCATATGATACAATGTAAAATATTTTGCCCCATAACACCCATTTATCTTTTCATACAATACTTAATAGCCCATAAAATGTCATTTGCCAAAATTTAAGCAGATTCTTGATTTTTATTCTTTTGATTTGAGACCCTAATAACACCAATACAAATATAAGGTAAAAGTCCGAGTCAGCCTTTTCCCACCATATTTTAAAAATATAATATCTCGAAAAGGAGCTCCATGACCTATCAATATTTTTAGCTTATTTTGTTCCTTAACTAATGCTTTTCCAACTTAAAGTATCAATTTTAAATTCTTGATTCTTTGAATTTCACCTAAGTACATCCTTAAAACACCTTTGAGATACAAATAATGCTAATATCAAGTGAAGGACCAAAGGAGGAAGATTTTGATTTTGAAAAATGTGTGGTGACCTTTGGAAAGTTGAAACAGAGGAAGATATCAACAAAACAATGTGTACATGACATTAATTTGTAAATAACTATTGCAGACTGGATTATTTTTATCATTTTTTATAGGGTCTGTCATTATTTCCTCTCATCTGTAATAAATACTTTAAAGTTCCATGACTTATATGAATTGCTGTACCTATAATAAAACAATTAGATTGGTATATGGCTTTAAACAATTCTAGACATATCGGCACCCAGACAAATCGGCACCTGGACAAATGGCACCTGAGAAAGACACTTCGGCACCCAGACAAATCGGCACCTAGACAAATCACACCTAACATCGGCACCTCATAAAGATAAAATCAATTATTAAATTCTTGATCAAAATATAATGAACCAAAAATCAAAATTTACTGTGAGTGGTATAGATATGTGGGCATGACCTCAATTTGCAAGTTTAGTGTTAATATAGCAATACTTTCGACTTGTATTCTTTTTCCATATGCATGAAAATTGATTTCATAGATTTCACCATTCATGTACTAGTTTTAATGTAATGCATAGTTCTATTCCGATAGTATTCTAAATCAATGAAACACATGTATCATATTTATAATATTTATTTTATTTATTATAATCATATTCATAACAGTTTATAGACACGTTAACAGCACTAGATTTACATCAAAGGTGAACACATGATAGTAATGAAACATTTTAAGTACTGTAAATATAACATATAACATATATACAGGCAGCACTATAAGTTTTAACAAAGTCACTTTGGTGGTGTTCCGTACACTGGCACATTCCTTTAGCAGTCTGGAGGTGGAGATGCTGTTGCTACAATACTGGTCCCACAGTCTTTACACTTTTGATCTCCATTGAGAAATTATCAAATTTCATTATAAACTTACATTAAATACTGATTAATGCATGACTACAATTAATTATGATTTAATTAAATGATGTTTATTCAAACACCATCATACTTAACAATCAATTAGGATTTAATTAAAATTTAATGATGTTTATTCAAACACCATCGTTTAGGGTTTAATTAAAAAAAGACAATTATTTTTTCAAATTTTGTAATGCATATTTTATTTACGGATTTTAATATTTCTGTAACAATTCTTTTATTTTTCTTAATATTTATAGATTATCGTTGGTTATCTCAACGAGATTGATTTTCTCGCTTTAGCCGGTACGGCGAAAGTGAAAAAAAGCAATCAAGTTGGGCTGACCAATGATAATCTGTTTATCGCTGTTTTACCTATGACGACGTTGCTAATTTTATTGACAACGGGCACGTGGGCCCTTAGTTTCTAGCGATAATTTTTCATATCACTCGACTCCACTGAGAAAGAAAATGATCAGTCAGCAAGATCATAGGAAAATTTTTAAAATAGCGATAAATATAGGTGCCGAATTGTCTTGGTCCCGAAATGTCCTGGTCCCGAAATGTCCAAAACGGATGCCGAAATGTCTTCGGACCTGGGTGCCGATTTGTCTGGGTGCCGAAATGTCTTGTTACCGCTTTAAACATTCAAATTATGTCAATGTATGTAGTGACTAGTGTAACTAATTCTGAAAAAGCAGAGTTGTGGTACTGTTGTTTACTGATGACTGTTTACTTTGCAGAACCACCAAAACAGAAGAAAAAGACCACAAAATCCTGCAAGATATTGGGCAAACAATAGGGAAAATAGATTTAATGGAGAAAAAACCATGCTACATAATTTTTCCATTCTTTCAAATTCTGAGCATCAAACACAATTTTAAGCCAGATATTTTATAATATATGCTAAGTCACATACTCCAATAAGTTCAGGACAACCAATTCATAACAGTGAAAATATCAGAAGATTCCCAAAGACATAATAAATGTAGAAATTTAGATATTTTACCAGAAATTAGTTCCTTTGCATTCTTCGACTCTTCGGTAAATGAGAACTTCCGGTGTGCGCCAGGGCCGAGAAATCAAATCGGACCAAATAATTTCGACACAATCTTCTTTCATCTGGGTATCAGTGACTCATTCAATACCAAAGAAGGCTATATGAGAACTTTCATGAACATGTGTTTAGTAATTAGTTAAATAAGTAAATGAAATATATGAAAAATATATAATTCTCCTACAAAAGTATCTTTCTTCACCATATATTTCCTCAGATAGAATCATTCTTATACTTTGCCAAAACGTAGATTTTACCATGCTTTTTAAAAATATATGATAAAACGTATGGGTCACCGTGCTATATTTCAAGCTACAAGACGCACAAAATGCCCAATTTTGCATAGATTTTTCACGAAAAAATGCTTTTTTGTGCTTAAAGAGAAATTTATGAGGTAGAATTTTCAATAAAACATGCCTTGAAGAGATAGGTTTTACGATATAAATAATGCTTTAAGAAAATAAAATAAAAAAATGTTGTCACCGAATTTTGTTTTCTGGCCACAAGCAAAAAATGAAAATTTCGTTAATTTCTTTATAAATATTTTGCAGATTAAAGACATTACAGCAAAGAACAATAAATTCGTCAATATCAATATTATGTGATATTTTTTTCGATTGCCTATAGTTATAAATATTGCATAGATTTTGCTTTGATAATTCGAAATTCCCATTTTGTAAAAAGGTGGGGTGGAAAACTGAGATATTAAATGGCCAATAAAAAAAAACAATTAAAGGGGCATTAGCTACGAGATATAAAAAAAGGGATAACATATATTTTTTGGTTCAATCATTAATTAATGAAAGTGAAATAACAATTCGCTTTTAGCAGCCAGTTTGGTTCAATTTTTGTAAGCTAAGAAACATCGCTGATGAATTATTTACTTGCAAGTGAATAATTCGACATCATTGAATCCGTATTCATGCGACCTTCAATTTAACCCCTTAGCTAGAGATGGGTTACGCATGAATTAGGCGTGTTCAATTATTAAAAGGAAAAGAATGTCAACATTGAAAGTGAAACAAGGGTAAACCATTTGATTGACTGATACGATCCTTAAAAAACTCTTTCTATACAGGTAAAAACGATGATTAACGTATATTTCTAACCTATATTGTAAAATCAAACAGACATAGATAAATCCAATTGGACGAGTTCGCTATCTATTTATATTTTAGTTTATGATAATATCGGGTTATATAACCGTCGGCAGTCTTCGGTGGTCACCTCGATAGTTAAATATACGGCGTCTAGACTAAAATACACACGAAATGCTTACACATATTATCAAGCCCATGCATTGTAAATTGTTTATTCTAGACTTTTTATAATTTGGATATACGTTTTAGTATGTTATAGATCAAGTATGAGAATTTGAGTCAAATCGGTGAACATGAATTTGACAGCTAATGCCCCTTTAAAGTAGATGAAAGCTTAACACTACTGTATATGGATAAAAAAAAATCTTATATAACGTTCTTCTTTCGCTTTGTAAACAACACCATGATAAAATTCTCAATATATATATACTTACCGCAGACTCAGAGATGTATATAATAATAGCTGTTACAATATACCTCCCACGTAAATGATCCACATGTATATCGTAACCTATGTGCAAACGCTATGCCGATTTCGTCATCGCTGTGTTAAAAATTGCACTTGAAAAAAAAACCTAAAGAATCTGTATTTTTATTCTGATCCATTACAAAAGGAATTAATGCATTATCGGAAAAGTGTACAAAATAAAAATAAAATAAAGTTCCGCGAAATTCCATTAAACATTAAATGCTTTTGGCGCATTAAAGTCATTTCAAAACATGACGTCATAAGAATTAAAACTCCAAATCTGAAGGTTTTTCCGTTGCGTGAACCCTCCAAATTCGGATAATATTGCATTAACATGGAGTTTTCATGTAGGTGTTGCATTATTCGCACATTTACTGATTTCAGCAAGTCAACATGGCGGCTCCTTGGTTACAAAATGTCAACTGTGGATTTGACGGTAGCTTACGAGAAAAAATGTAAATTATATATAAATAAACAGCTGCGCCATGAGCGCATGATACGCCCGTCGCTTTTTTAAGGAATAAAGTTCAATAACTTCTCAATGTCATTTCAGAAATTTATGAAAAACTAAAGGGAGGTTATCTTAAAAGATATAAACCAGTCACCTAAGTTTCAAAAAACTGATCAAAGCACTTTAAAGATATTATCCGAAAACTGGAAAATCACCCCCTTTTTATGAATAAAATCCCATAACTCGGAAACGTAAAATCTAAAATTTATAAAAATCAAAAGGGAGCTTATGTCAATAGATATAAACAATTCACCAAACTTTCATGAAAACTGCTGAAAGCATTTTTGAGTTATTGTCCGAAAACTGGAAAATTCCCCCTTTTTAATGAATAAAACCCCATAACTCGGAAACGTAGAATCTAAAATTTATAAAAATCAAAAGGGAGCTCATGTCAATAGATATAAACAATTCGCCAAAGTTTCTTGCAAATTGGTGAAAGTGTTTTTGAGTTATTGTCCGAAAACTGGAAAATCCCCCTTTTTTAATGAATAAAACCCCATAACACGGAAACGTAGAATCTAAAATTTATAAAAAACGAAAGGGAGCTCACGTCAATAAATATAAACAATTCACCAAAGTTTCATGCAGATTGGTTAAAGCGTTTTTGAGTTATTGTCCCGGACATGTTGACGACGGACGGACGGACGGACAACGGTATACCATAATACGTCCCGTAAACGGTCGTATAAAAAAATGGCAAATGTTGGAGTTGAGAATTAAAAGAATTAAAAACATTTATTTTCTAGCGGCTATTTAAGAAATAATTCATGCAAACTATATATTTATTGCATGGAAATTTAGCTTTATCTAACAGGGGTAAAATAAAACAGCCACACACACGGCATACCCACCCTCGCTTCAGTATTTTAAATGACAGTATTTGTCCCATTAGAATCGAAATAATTCATAAACAACAAAAAACAAACAAACAAACAAACAAACAAACAAACATGCAATCAAATAAGCATGCACAAACAAATCCACAAAACACAAAACACTACACAGTAAACTGAAGATTGGTCAACACGAATCCAGCCAAAAACCGCTGTGAACTCAGGTGCTCCGAAGTGGCAAGCAAAGTTCCTCTTGGTCTAAACAAAATATGAGTAGATATACCATTGTCTAGGCATTTCAATGGGAACTTAATTTGTCCACTGATAGCAGATATTTTCATTTACTGTTTAATGATTCAAGTTTAAGACAACAGTTCTTTTAGACCGAACAAAACACCACTTGATAGGTATTTTCCACAAAACCGGTTGATATATTGGATTGATTTACTTAATGTTTGATTTTTTTACACTAAGTCTTGCTTTTTGTCTACGGACACTGGCGTTAAATTAAGTTTAGAAGTGTTCTGGCTTTTACGCCTATAATTATAAAATAAACATTATTATATTATACGAAATAACTTAAGATGCAATATAAAATACTTATGCATGTGTGGACTCCACCCTCCTTTGTTTAAACTACTTTTGAATTTACCTAATGGAACAACAAGCTGTCTTAAAGCTTTATAGTTTCCAGTAAATGATGACAACCATTTTAGATGAGTATGTGCATCCTAGATGGACAGCGTCTTTATCTTTTTGAAGTTGCTTACGTAAGGACTTTTTTTATTTTGCATGTTAAAAAAAAATAGGTTTCATCATCAAATTTATTTACATTATAATGTATTCAAAATCTATTTTCACTTTGAATTCTTTTGTCTAACCTCTCTGTTTCCAAGAAATGGTCAATTACTCGCATTTTGCATTATATCTTCCTATTAAAAAATCATTTGTCTGTTTTTACATTTTGTCTTTTGAGAAGTGCAATTCAGATTTTACATAAATGAAGAAAATTATGAAGGTTTATTTTTTTATTATTACGACTGTCTGTAAAGGACAGAATGATGTTCGATTTTTAAACAAAAAATGTTATATAAGGGGAGATAGCTCAGATTATCTAAATTTTATATAATAAAAATGCACGGTAAATTTACATTTCGTTTTGTAGCAAGAAAAGATGTGTTCCGTGGTCCAAATTTTTAATTTTATTTTCTTAAAGCATATTTTAAGAACTATATCTACTCATACCCAGGCTTGTAATCAACTATCCATCAATAGCATACAATGGCAACACATTTATTTTATTGTAGCAGTTTTGCTCAAACACGAAATTAATAGGTATCATCATTATTTATAAATATCAACACTCATTAATCTTGGATCATTTGAAATACGTTTTTTCCTATGGACGATGCTTGTCCACGTATGATTCAATCACATTTTGACATCGAAGCACGGTTACGTTGACTAGAAACGATGCCAAGAAGGAAGAACATTATAATAGATTTAATAATTATTGTTTTATTTTTTTACATTATATGCTATGAGATACTATTTAAGAACATTGGAGTATGGCATGGATACACCTTTAAAACAGATAAGTAAGTTTTTTTTTCATAAATGAGCTGTGAGACCCACCCCCCTTTTTTGCCACCGCCAGAATATTTCCTTTTGATATTATAATAACATACAAGTTTTACAAAGGGTTGCTAATGAAAAACAAGACAATCAAATAGGCAAAATTGATAGAAAAAAAATATCACTGCGACCTCTATACGTAGTTGATCCGATCGGTTAGGATCAAACATCAAATTATATCAGTTAATTCTGCATTCGGATGCCATTAAAAGAACCATTGACACAACATTTCAAATAAAGTTACGTTTCAAAGTAAAATTTCTTACTTTACTCAGCAAGCTTGTCCTTTTTTATGTTTTGAAAGAACTTACAAAATTGTAATGTGTTATATCGTTCTAAAATATACTAAAAATTTGACCCTGGATGTAAAATACTATTTTTTTTTCTAAATTCTCTTCGTTCAAACGAACATAAATGTTCTAGACTATATAATTTCTGTATACTGATTGT